GATGAGACACAATTGCCTGCTCTTTTCCTCCATCCAGTCTGCTGCATTGGTGTGTCTGGCCTGCTGAGAAGAGTGAAGCAGCACTCTGTGGTCTTCTGATTGTCTGGCTCTCAGTGGGAGCCCAGGTTCCTGCAAGAATCTTTTTAAAGTTATTTTCTATAACATTATTTTCTGCTATACATAGTGGAGAGTTCTGGGTAAAATGGGAATGGAATGGCAAGGCAGGATGATAGAAAGGTAATGGTTGCAAGTGAATACTAATTTGAAGAATATATATATTATTTTGGTGATAAAAGTGCTAAAATTTGTCTCTGTCATTGAGAGAATGTGTGAATTTATTAAAGCCTCATACAGATGTTTTGTATGTATGAATTATAATAAATAAAAAGTAAAATTAAAACATTTTTCCCGGTGTCCCCATGTAATAACTAAGTTTATGTAAGTGTTGAGAAGTTTCACAACCATAATAAAACCTTACAAAGTAACACAAGATAAAAATGTAGTTAGTAATGACCTTCATACAGAATGTGAGGTTTATGTTATAATGAGCGAAGGCAGAGAAGCGTGCACACTAAACACACTGCTAAATATATTTGCAGAAATTCGCAACCCAAGAAACAGTATAATTCAAGCAGTATTAAAACTTTCTTTTGAACCTAAAAGTTTTACCGCCATGGCAATACTGTTTGGTATACTTTGAATAAATAAAATTTATTTAAGGTATACATTTTTCTCTTAACTTTATGTTTCTCTTTTGGTCTCTATGGCCTTGAGAATGTGCCAAGTTCTCTCTCCTTTTCCTCTTCATAAACCCCCCTGTGGTTCTCTACCTTTTTCCCTGTAGCTTCCTGCTCCCTCCTGTATGCTTGGTGAGACTTATACTGTACAAACGCTTCTTCATCCTGTATCACGTCATATTTTAATGCAAGAGTTTCTTCCCTCTCTCCCCTTCTTGCCCCTGCTCTCAGGATTGCCAAATTAACTTTAATCTAAAGGTAGCCCATTTCCTCTCCTCTCCTCTCTTCTCTTCTCCTCTCCTCCTCTTTTCTCTTCTGTGGTCTTGTCTTTATGTGGTGACATGTTCCTTCATCTCTCCTCATGTCTGATCATTTGTATGTGGTACCAAGCTACTGCAAATAGATCCAATTTACTAACAATTTGTTCTGGGTGTGGTTTGGGTTTTAGTAAAAAAAATCAACTCTATTGCTCCAATAAATCAATGTTTGTACTGGGATAATATATATTTAGTTACTGCTCATCTTTCTACTTGGAAGAAATTTGGAAATTTCTGCATTTCCTTAATTTACTGTAGGCTATCCAATGTGTAGAATAGAGTCCTTGGGGAAAAAGGTGAATTGTGTGAAGTGTGTTCAGTGAGAGAGTATCTTCACTGCCTCCTGTCACAATCAGAGTTTGTCAGATGATTGTTAGTAAATCCTGATGCTGTACTGCTCACCGTATGTGGCTATACATCTGTCAGCATGTGTGTCTTTGTATTCTGTGTCTTGTCTGTCAATCACTCTGCTTGTCTTCATCTTGTCTGCTTACATCATTGTCACTGCAGGTGTAACCTGGAAATACATGGTCTCTTATTTTAGAAGCTTTACCTGCCATATGTTCTACATGTACCTATAAGCCTCTAACGATCACTGTAGATCAGACTTTTGCTTGAAGAGAAACAAAACCAACTGTGACCACTAGATGTCAGCAGTGAACTAAAATACATGGCCAAACCTGTTGCCAGAGCAATTAGCAACTGTGTGAGCGAGTGTGTGTGTGTGGCTTATTTCACCAGGCCTTTATCAGTTGTTTTTATTCCACCCACAAATTGTCACCTTGTTTCTTCTTCATCCTTGAACGACTGCCACACCATCTTTAAATTGTGCTGATTCTCACTCACATTTGTAGATTATTTTCTGCTCTTGACATTTTATCGATGAAGTACAGGTTAAATTTCCACTTACTTGTGGTACTTTTGAGCTTTGAATTGTTGCCACAAACGTATAAAAGAATGTTTCAATCAGGATTAATGTTGCACTAAAAGGTCACCCAGACTGAATGAAAGTGGCCATACAAAACACACAGTGAGTTTTATCATTACAATGACAAAGAAACTTAATCTAATGTGGATCCTTACCTGATCCAACTGTACTTACAAAGTGCATCCCTAGTTTAAACCCTTACAAAAGGCTGAAGTACTATATTTTGTGTAAAATTATTTCATCTTTATTCATATTCTCAGTGTGTGTCTGCGTGTATGAGCTGGAAAAAGTGTCTTGGTTGAGTCATACCCATACTCAAGTGTACTAAATGAGTCGGCCCTTTTGGCTCCCTTCTCCCTGTGGTTTCAGGACCAAGCAGTTGTGGAAGACTCTGATCAGGTGCCTCTTGAAAGGAAGGAAGTAAGGCTGCTTGTTCGGCTCGGCCAGGCTCTTTTCATTGACTAAAGCTTACAGGTGTGCTGTGATCTGGTGCGGTCTGCTCCGCTTTGCGTTTCTCTGCCGCTCTACCAGATTAAGAGCAGACTATGGTAGATGCCATTAACCAAACTAAAGCTGCTCAGTATCGGTTGAATCAAGTTAGATGTCTTAATTTATCCAGAATAGCAAAATGTGATAAATCAGGGAATTTATCATGTTAGATAAAAACAAAGATAGCCTATTTTCCTGTTTAAGCATCACTTCATTTTGTCAGCAAATATTGGAATAGTGTGAAACCCTTTTCTCCACCCAACTCAACTTGGACTTGTTGGATATTTTGGATCAAATGGAGTGCAATTGACATTTCTTTATGCTAAAGTGACCTTCATTGGCTTACTTTCTAGTGAAGGTGCAGCAGGATGACAGTGCTCATAAGGCATATACATCCCTGTTACTTGCACAAATTTAGATTAGGATCTTTAATAATCAGGAAACAGTGAGGGAACTTGACACTTTATCACCCATTTGTTATAGCTCTTTGTTAAAGCTAAACGATGACCTGCTCCGTGTAGCATGTTGGGTATAGATCACATCGATAATGTTGAGGTTCAGCATGAGTTTGGATCTGTGTTTGGCCTTGGCTGGGTGTGAATACTGGACATGGCAATCTTGGTTGTGTTTTTGTGCCGAAAGACACATAAGTATGGAAACTGTATTTGATTGTTGTTTAGCCTTCAGGCTGCCATGAAGTTGGGTAGTTTTCTAGCAAGTTTCTTGGAGCATCTTGCCATACTGGGAGATTAAGCATGACTTTGGCATGAAGGATAGACGAGAATCTTTTTGCCTTTCTGCAAATACAAGTGAACATGAGAGAAACTTCTCCAGACCAGACATGCATGCACATAGCAAAGCCACAGTGTGATATCCTCCTCTTCATTACACTAGCAGCCATGCAACTTTGTCCTAGTCAAAAACTTATCATCATTATCATCATCATCATCATCATCATCATTATCATCATCATCATCATAATTATCGTCATCATCAGTGCAGTTAGACAATTAGGTGTAAGTGTAATGGAGTAATTTCAATGCTTCAAATATTTCTAGTTATGCAGTTGCTTCTTCAAATTATGTTATACGCAAGATAAGAGTGTCCCCTAAATATATATATATATATTGATGTTCATTGTTCATAATGCGATCTAGTTTAAATCTATACCCTATTATTACCAATAATAACTCAACATTATATTTATGTTGACTATGCTGAAACATGAATAGTCATGTGACATGCAGTACACCAATCTTTGCGTAGTGGTTTTAATTAAGCACAGCGTTAGTTCAGGCAGGCTACGAAGTCAAGCTCAGCTTGACTCTGCCGCTTGCTCTGTTCTGTACCCTGGAGGGTCTCTGTCTTAAACTTTTCCACGTAGGCACATGGAAGGGCAAGGAGGTCCCAGAACAGAGCCATACGGCCAAACATTCTGATTTGGAAAATAAAGTTATTTTGACAAAAGTGGTCCTGATTGAACTGTGGTTGTGGTTTTGTTGAAATCTTTTGGTCCTCTTTAAAAAAAATATATTTCTTTTATTTTTTTTCTCTCCATCTCCAAGTAAAATAAATTGCAGGAAAAAAGGTTTTTAGTGCTTTTTCTTTAATAGTTTATTATTTTTAGCTTCCCTCCTTTAATCCAACAGGAACAGCCAGTAGAGTTTTTAATTCGTTTTAATGAGAATTACTTGTTAATATATTTTGAGACAGCTGGGTCACAGCATCTGACATTTCTTTTGGTCAATAATGTGACAAAATGAAAGAAAGAAATGACAGTTGCCACAATTCAGTGCGCTTTATTGAATTGCAACTGTCTGTCTGTGTGTATCTGCTCTACAGTGCCACCGCAGTCTCATTTCACTACATTCATTTTTAATTCTGCTTATCAATCAACGTAATGGGGCTGTGAGTGACCAAATGAGCAGTGTGAGTGTGAGCACATGTACAGGATATTTATTTAAGAATGTAATTCAAACATGAAATTGTGTGTATGATAATGGCTGTAGTGGAAAAAAAATCTATTTTAAGAAACGTGTTGGTCTGGAATCGAGAGGAACCCAAGGAAAGAAGCCTTGTCTAAGTTATCTGGTTCAGTATCTGTTAAGCTCATTTTATACATATTGTAAAACAAGACATAATGACACACATTTTAGGAACTATCTTGTCTTAAAACTACACAGTGCAGCTTTTTGTCGTGTGTGTGTTACTCAAAGTGCATTTTAAAATATATATCTCTTACACGCCACCTTTTGTGCTCCATGTGCAGAAAGCCAAGCTAGGCCCAGGTAAGAAGGTGATCACCGAGACGGACGACGGAAACTCCACCCTGCTGCCTTCCAACAACCTGGACCAGGTCAAACTCAGCGACTTCCTCTTCCTTGCTGTCCTGGGGAAAGGCAGCTTTGGAAAGGTGAGGAAGCTGCCCAAAAACAAAGTTCTTATTAAAACTGGTGACGGACAACATGAGATCTAAAGGGATGATAAAAATATTATAAGTTATACATCTACATCCCTGCCTTTCTCTCCCCCTGTGTCTGTCTCTCTGAAGGTCATGCTGGCAGAGATGAAGGCCACTGAAGAGCTGTACGCAATAAAGATCCTGAAGAAGGACGTTGTGATCCAGGACGATGATGTGGAGTGTACCATGGTGGAGAAGAGAGTCCTGGCCCAACAGGACAAGCCGCCCTTCCTGACACACCTCCACTCGTGCTTCCAGACTGTGGTAGGTAAAATGCTTCTGGACACGCGTCAGGACAAGTCACTCTAGGTCGGGTCAGGTCAAATTAATTCATCAAGGGGCTTTTAGCTAAACAGCTTAGTCATAAAGTGTTGTAGAGAGCAGTAGAGGACGTGTATGACAAGTACAGTTAAAAAGAAGAGAAGGGGCAACAAACAAACTCCAATTAGAAGGCTAAAGTTTGTGTGTGTATACAAAAGCATGTACATGTTTGTGCATGCACGTGTGTATTGACTTTGAGTCATGCCAAGACCAGACCACACCTGAGAGCACATACTGTATGAGCGAAGAGACATGCACTTATAAATATATGTATTTCCTGCACACACAGGCACGTTTTTGAGTACACATGCAGTCATACACACACACACACCTGCACTTATTTATAAAAGTTTATTGTCTTGGCTTATTTAAGAGCAGACACAAATGCACCCTCATGCATACAAATAGTTACACATACATAAATCAAATCAAATCATAGAGAAATATCTCTTACTGCTCTGCTTTCACACCTACCCAAAAATGGAAATGGAACTGTCTAAATGTCTAAATCCTGAGCCAATTCCTCTTCAGATTAAGTTTCTTCATATATTTTAGAGCTTAAGCCTTGGATAATCACTCAGGGTACACAATATCAGCAATAGTAGCAATAATAGCAGCTGGGCTCGGCTTTAGTGGCAGTATATTAAAGCTGGCATAATCTGATGTCCTGTCATGAGACATGTAATGTCAAATTTGGCATTTTGACATGTAATGACCCCCTGAGGATATCATCAGGGTTATTTTTTCAGACTTGACAAAGCTCCTCCACATCCCCAGAGAACATTACAGTACTGTTTTCAGAGGTTGAGTCTACTGTTAGTAAACTGATATCCATGTGTCAAATTGGTGCTGTGCCCCTTCAACAACAACTGCTGTAGCATTGGTATTAAGCAGTGTATAGTGGTAGTTTAGCTGTCTAGCTGTGAAGTTTCAGATTGCAACTAACTGAACACTGCTGCCGTCTGTATTTGATGACTTGGGAATGAGAACAGGCTCTGAAGTATTTAGAAAAAACTACATTGGCTGTAAAATGTGCAAAAGGCCTGATCTACAGCCAGTGTTTGATTTGTCCATTATGGGCTACTGTACAAACATAGCCGGTTAATATAGTGGACTCGATGGAAGGTGACCTGTGGCATATGTAGATAAAAATGTCTCATTCTAAGGTAACGAAAACACAACAATTCTTATTTTCTGACAATTATACAATAATATCATATCTATAAATATTACATTCCATTTCTGCCAAAAGAGCCTCCTAAATGTTACACACTGGACCTTTAACTGAGGAAGTGGTAACTTTGACACTCTCGGAATTCTTGAAATACTAATATTTTTTATTTTTAGTTTACCGAATATAGATATACAGAAAGAGAGCAACATTGTTTTTCATGCAGCACTCTTCACATACATTTTTGTCTAAATGTAAAAGAAATCATGTTTTACCTAGTGACACTTATGGGTCTGTTGCTATGTGAAATGGTTGGTTTGTGTTTAGCTGGTAACAGACAAACACAGCTAGACCAGGGTCAGGCCAAACTTGTCATGGGTGGTAAGGGACCAGCACTATTAGGCAAAGGGAATACTTCCTGACAGATGTCTGTGTTGAGTGTTTTCTTTTTCCATGAAGCGCTTTGTTGTGGGCTTTTTAGGTCACCTTGTCATGGAAAGCAGTAGCAGGAACGATGTAACAACTCAGACAGCAGGTTATGGGAGGCTGCAATACTGAATTGTATCTCTCTTTTGAGAGCATTGTCAGTGAATAGAAATGTAGACATTTATGTAATATCACAGCTTGCTTTATGTGCAAAATCATGTTGATGTTGCATATTTTTTCTCCCCATCTATCCCTAATCCCTTTTGATCTATTCCTTCTGTCTCTATGACCACAGGACCGTCTGTACTTTGTCATGGAGTATGTGAATGGAGGAGACCTTATGTATCATATCCAACAAGTGGGCAAGTTCAAGGAACCCCAGGCAGTGTAAGACATTTCAATTTATTAGCAGCTTCTGTTGTAATCCTATTGCATAGTGAATAATTTGTTTCTACTTTTAAATAGTAATTGGATAATAATTAATAATAATTTTAGTTTAAGATAATTGTCATGCCATTTTCCTAAAACATCTTTGTATCATGTTACTAAAGTAAAAACTTTGTTAGATTTTTATGCATACATGCTGCATTATTACTGCTGCAAGCATGTGAAGCACTAGCTACCACAGTAATATGGCCTTTGTATAAAGAATGTGATTTATCTGATGGGATACAGCAAAGCTTTCTGCAAGTAAAGGTTATGTTTCCTTGTGGTACAAGTCTGTACAAATTTGGTTGTTATTGCAGGTTCTATGCAGCAGAGATCGCTGTTGGTCTCTTCTTCCTGCATGCTAAAGGAGTTATCTACAGGTGAATATGAACCAATTAACACAACTTAAACAGCACACATAACGTGCATGCAGTGCTAAATTCATTAGCTGCATTTAAAGTAATAATCAAAAATGTTGTCATATAATAAATGCTCTTTCTTGAAAACACCCAGCAGCAGCAGCAGCAACTGGGGTTTGTTTGAAAGTATAATATAGTGTAAGAATTAGAAGAATTTACAATTGACAGTGAAATCCACCTGCTGAAACTAATTCTGAAGGAAAGGCCAACATCTTGAAGCCTGTTTTGAATGTCTGTGCGCTTCCACAGGGATCTGAAGTTGGACAATGTGATGCTGGACTGCGAGGGACACATTAAGATTGCTGACTTTGGCATGTGTAAAGAGAACATCACAGAAGGAGTGACCACGCGCACCTTCTGTGGCACTCCAGACTACATAGCTCCAGAGGTGAGGCTGAACATGGAGAGATGTGTGTGTGTGTGTGCTTTTATGTATGTGTCACTTGCATGTTTTGATACATGAGGTCATCTCTGTCATTGTCTGGTCTGAGCCTGTGTCACCCTTGTGCTCCAGATTAAGGTCACTGCCTCAGGACAGACACACACACACACACACACACAAGCGCTGTCTCATGACGTAAGCATCCGAGTCAGACAGACACCCAGTGTGTCCGCTGGCGAGTCCAAACTTAACCCAAACATACAAGCTGGGGTCTTCGTGTGTCCCAGTGGGTTTTCTTGTTGTTTTGATACATTTCTGAGATAATTTCATCCAAGACAAATCCACTTGACTTTCCATTTCACCTTGTCATTTGTGATCATGATTGTGTTCAAGACTAGATATTTAGCTTATTTTTGTCCTTTGTTTAATGGTAACATGTGTATAAAATTATGGACGTAAAAAAAAAAACTGCACATCTCAATGTTCTGTTTTTGAAAATCATATCCCAGCAACAGGAATCCTTACCAGAGCGCCTTGTTGAATGTGTCCCTTGTATCACAATAGCTTAAAAATATTGGTCCGAGGAGGATTAAATGATATCAGTCCAGCACATAAACAGGCAGCATTAATACTGACTCTTCATCAACTGTGGCAACTGTGTATCAGTTAGACTGGATCTGCTCCCAGTGAATGGGGACTGACCCTGCCCGCATTCATGGCAAGAGGTGCAGACAGGATAAATCCAAATTGACTGACTGGATGGTTGACAAGCACACTGATGACTATGGCTGAGAATTGTTCCAAATGTTTCAATACAATTTCCAATATGATACATGTTTCAGTACCATTACCAAAATGAAACAACGTTACTTTGCTGGGTATGAACACATTGCTCCATAAAACAAGAACTTTGCCTCAAAAAAGTATATTGTAAAAAGTAGAAATTGTAGAAGGAAATATCAGATGAACGTATGAGTAAACAAGCAAGAAATTGGTGTAAACTTTTGTAATTCGAGATTTTGCAGTACTCCAGCAAAATGAATTAGGGATAAGCATTGGCACTGAATATGATCAACTGGAGGTGAATGGGGTGGAGGAGGATCGCAAAGCAGAGGGAGGAAAACAGATTTAAAGTTTGATGGCAGCAACATTATTGGCTGAAGTAGATTGTGGCTAAATCTGATTGGTTTAACTGAAAGAGTAACCGCCCATAGTTAGCTGATTAAGAAGAAGGAGTGTGAGAGAATTGTGAATGAATGAAGCATGATGAAAATGTCGTCCTGCTTGAACTTACACTAAGCTTCATTTGTTTTGGTTTCTCCATATTTATAATTTGGTTATAATTTGGTTTAACGCTGACTAAACTGTTAAAGCAAGCAAGCACATAAGTAAATTCCCAATGGGTTGGTAAACCAAAGCCCTGCTTGCAATTTGGGGGTTCTGGAAACCAGGATAATTATCCATAATTCAATGCAATTTTTCGGGCTGTTAATCTGTTTATCGGTCTCTATTAATTTCACCCAATATAGTAACAGGAAATGTCTGATACTACAGTTTGCAGCAGCTTATACTTTATGTACTGATTAAGTTTGTCCAACTCTCTAGCCATTATCAGTTAGCTGGCTTCTATTTAATGGTGGGCTGGGTTATTGATCTCCTCTAAAAACCTCTTCTGACAGACTGGGAGGTTAATTCCGCCCCATGGACGCAGGGTGAACATGCTGTGACCGCTCAGAGTCAGACTGACACTAATGCGGCAGCCAGGGATGACACAGCAGGGGGTTGGAGTGGCTACTGTTTCCATAGCACTGAGAGCTAGTACACACATTTAATGTCATACGCTTTATGCTAAGTCACACACACACACACACACACACACACACACACACACACTGTCACAGCCACTTGCATGACAGCATCGCATGCACAAAATTCTTCATATACAGACAATTATCTGTATACACACATGCTTTCAATAGAAACACAAACCCAATCATGCACACACTTCTACACACATGTACGCACTCAGAAACACTCCAAAGTGGAGGCTGACCTTAAAAATGGGCTCACAGTGGTGACATTTTCAGATATGATCGAGGGATAGTGCTCCTCAAACTGTGTGTGACACAAGAATCCACTACTGATGACTTTACAGGCTGAATTTGACTTCACAGTCTGGACAAATGCTTCATACAATTCACTTTTATTGGTAATTTTCTTGTCTTATTAGACTTTCTTTAAGTGTGTTTACATTATAAGCTGTCAGTAGCAGCTGAAGTAGTAGAGGACATTCTTTTGGCTTATATTGATTCGCTGTGGTAACATGTAACATTTACTCAAGTGCTGTACTTAGTACAAATTCAAGGTACTTAATTGACTCATGTTATGCTACTTATGTATAATATTGTAATTTTACTTGACTATATTTAGTTTAGCTTTAGTTAGTTAAAAATTTTTTTGCATGCTCAAATTTGGTGATTTTAATTTTTTTTCGTAAACTGAAGGATTTATTGTTCCTTATTTAGTTTATGAAGCAGGAAAATGATCTTAACCCAGTAAGGTAATTGTCCTGCTTCTTAAGCTAAATAAGCTATTTAAACCCCTCTTAGATTAGCTGTAAAATTTATTGACGCAAAGCTGAAAACAGGGCTATTTTACTGAGCTCATAAAAGATATGTATTGCGGTAGATTAAACAACCAGAAAGTATATAAAGTAGTTCAAAACAACTACATCAGTAAAATGAAAATGACAAATTAACGCAGCAGTATGTTGCAGCATTTATAATAGTAAAACATTGACAGGGACTGTTTTTCTCCATAATGAGTACTTTTACTTTTGATACTTGAAGAACATTTTGCTGATGATTTCCTTGGACTGGAGTATTTTCACACTGTGGTATTACTACTTTTACGAAGTAAAAGATCTAAATACTTATTCCACTACTGTTGATTTTTGATGTCAGTAAGCTCAAGTCCTGTTCTACATTGCGTAGCGTTTCACTGATCTACTTATCCTGAAGTTACATATAAATGAGTGAAGCCTTACTGAACTCAGGAGAGATTTCATATCAGTCATGAACAAATACATTTGCAGAGTTTTGTCTGCTACCATTGGTCCATCTTTTAAATTTGAACAGTAACCAAAAGTCACATTGACAACTTGGGGGTGCTCGAGCTTTGGAGGGATTTAATTTAAACTCTTTAACCTTTCAGATCAAAAAGGTTTGGCCTTTACTTTGTAGGTTAAGAGTTAGTGGTTCAAGTAGAAAATTGTTTTTTTTGATTACTTGGATCCAGCCATAGTTTCCAACGAGTTGAGTACCACCAATATGGAGACCACATATGGAGAGCACCTGCCGCCCTGAATAAGGAACACTCTCACGCAATATAGTGTATGTTTGTGTTTATATGGACTGCTATAGTGAGGTCACTTCTGGTGGGTTTAGGCATGTTTGTATCACAATATGTGTGAGATAGCTGTGAGATGAGAAATGTTTTCACACTTTTCTTTCTCACACACACCTGCCCACATCAGTGAGGGAGTACATTTCTGTGTAGTGGTGGGTCCCCTGGTTGTCAGCACACATGTTACAGAATGCAGTACACACACACACACACACACACACACGCTGGCACACAGTTTTCGCTGTGTTTACTCTGACCTATATAGCCAGTCATTGGTAACTCCTGTCTGGGAGGGATGCTTACACTAATGTGAATTTACACCTCAGTGACTTTGACACAGAGAGAAAGAGATAGTGAGGAGGAGAGAGGGAGAGAAGAGATGTAACGCAAAGGCGACATAAGGTATTAACTGTGAGGAAAATAGCAGAAGGGCAAGACAAGAGCAGTTGGACACTGAAGTAAAGAAAGCATGACTTGAAATGAGAAGAAGTGACCTAATGATGGCTCTGTGCGGCATAGAGCATCTGAGGATATTGAGCTGTCTGACATGGGCCATTTCCCTCTACGCCCTATTTGGCCCCACTGTAATATGGCATTAGGAGGCATGTGTGTCCACTTCCCTGCTAACTCCTCTGTGGGCTGAAACAGCAGTTGGGGTGTTTGTAGTGTCAGGATGATATAGTGCAAATTTAGTCATCGAGGAAGTGCCATTTTTTAGACACTTGTTATCTTGTCGCTGAGCTGGTGTTCCTCCTCACAACCAGCATTGATTGTACAAGATTGGTTTGTCTGGGAAATTCATTTTCAGAAAGTTACCTCACAAACTCATGACTTTGAATGGTATGTTGCTCATCTATTAGACCCAGTTGTTTTGTTTCAGGCGTCTTGACCATACATGGTTCAGGGTTGTTGAAGATGCAGAGAGCAGTTCCATTTTTTGTTGCTGAATAATGACTGTGGCTTTTCCTTATTTCTCAAAAAGTTAGAGGACTAGGAATAGCAACCCGAAGTCATCATGGTGTTGTCGACTGGCCACGTTTTTGCCGCTGCAGCTCCAATTTTACTCCTCACCAATTACTGAATCAGTGAAACCAGTGTTATCAGATCAGAGCTATTAGTAGTCCTACAAAATCACTTCAGCAGGGGTTGGAAGTGAGAGGTGACAAAAGAGGAAGTGAGAAGGAAACAGCAAATGAGTCAGAAATGCAGAGAGCATGAACCTGCAAACATCCTGCAAACAAGATGGCAGCCTTGAAAAGCTCTTTGGATGGCAGATTACTTCTCTGCCCGATTATTAAATGAATCAGTAATTAGAGAAATGCTTTAACTTTTAGACATCCTTAATATTGAGCTGGATGATATAACCTTCCTCTTGTTTCCTCTTCTCTCTGCCTCAGGGCTCCAAATACATATTTATTTTCTGATGCAATGAACATTATACTGCATGTGTATGCCATGACAATGTATTTTCTCTTTTCGGTTATTTTTTTATTTTATAATTTTTTTATTTACATCATTAGTTTATGTCAATCTGCTACTGGTAGTAGATACATGATGCATGCAAATAAATATTTTACAGTGTCATTGATAATATATATGCT